CAGGGGGATGCACCCATGGGGCGCATCCACACATGCAAGCACGTGCACTTGCAGCAGCTCATATAGAAGCATTGCAAATTTGAGCTGGGGCTTTTTGCCTCAGTGCACATGCCCAGACATGCACTTTGTTGTGGAGCAAATTGTGCCACTCAGGGAAAAATAATCCTGCCTGGCTCCTCCTGGATTTACAGCCAGGGAGAGCTAGAGCCTAGGGCCAGCACCTATGCCGGCCCCGGCAGTATAAAAACCTGTCCTGTGCTGGCCCCAGCAGTATAAAAACCTGCCCTAGCCAGCAGCTGAAGGCTATGCGCACTCAGGAGCTTCTGAGGCTGGCGTCACCTGTATCGGAGACCTCCTGGGCTACGATAGGCAGGAGTGGGTGGACCCTGCTGTGCTGGCCCAGCGCATGGGTCTACCCATGACACGTGCAACCTGCCATCTGGTCCGGGAGGTGAAATCTGCCCTACCTCCTGACACCCTTTCCTTTGTTGACCAGGCCCTGCGTGGCAGCGGTTCCCACCCCCTCCTCCCCAATGTCCTCCAGCCCACCGGAGTTTGTCATGGGGCCGGCGCCTCGCCCGACTTCACGGCGCTCCCCGCTCCATCGCCTGAGCTGGCTGGAGGACACCAGACTGCTCTTCCACCAGCCATCGCCACCACCTCGACACGCTCATGCGCCACACTGTCCATCATGCTGCCCTTGTATCCTACCCAGACACCAAGTGGCAGGATCTGCTCGGTGAGGGCATAGCTAGTGCACCTCAGTGGCTGAGTCTGTACTTCACCCTCATCCCATGAGCCACTGGAGACCTCAGCTGGCGGCTCCTCCATGGAACCATTGCCATGGGCGTGTATGTGGTGAGCTTCACAGACACCCCAGGCTCCTGCCCCTTCTGTGGGCAGAGGGAGACCCTGGCGCACATGACCCTCGAGCACGCCATGCTGCAGCCCCTCCATCTCCACCTCCAGAACCTCCTCTTGAAATTCTGGTTGAATTTCACCTTTTTGGTTTTGGTCACCCCATCCATGGCCCCACCAAGTCCGAGTACCTCCTGGTCAACCTCCTCCTGGCCCTGGCCAAGTGGGCCCTATACTTGACCAGAAAGGAGGCTCTGGCCAGGAATGTGCCCAGAGACTGTGGGGTTGCTTTCCTTTCACTTGTCCATGCACGTTTCTAGGCAGAGCACCAGTGGGCGGTGTCCACCGGCTCCTTGGATGCCTTTGAGGACTGGTGGGTGCAGCCTGGGGGACTCTGCTCGGTGTCCCCCTCAGGCACATTTATTTTCATGTTTTGACCCTTTGACCCACATGACACTCCTATCCTGATTTTTTCATTAGCTGTCCTAAGTATTTTGTTGTAGCATTTACACATTAGCCCCCATACAATAGGGGCTGCTAGTTAGCTGGGTGGGCCTTAGGGCCCATGGTATTTGAATGTTACAAATAGAGAGGAGCTTCTGAGGCTGGTGTCACCCATATCGGAAACCTCCTGAGCAACGATAGGCAGGAGTGGGTCGACCCTGCTGCATGGGTCTACCCATGATACATGCAACCTGCCATCTGGTCCAGGAGGTGAAATCTGTCCTACCTCCTGATCCCTTTGGATTCCTTTGAGGACCGGTGGTGTGGCCCGGCTGCCTCTGTAGCCTCCGGAGGCTGGAGACGAGCAAGAGAATGAGCAGGAGGGTGGAGATAGCAGGGGAAGTCTCCAGCTCATCTCCAGGGGCTTGTCTCTAGCCTCCTACTCATTCCCCTGCTCATCTCCAGCCTCCTGTTTTCTCTCCTACTTGTCTCCAGCCCCCTGCTCCTTCTCCTGCTTGTCTCCAGCCTTGGGAGGAATGAACTGGGGGTGGGGGGAATGAACGCGGGCCTGGAGGAATGAATGGGGGTGGGAGAAATGAATGGGGGGCTGTGGGAATGAATGGGGGGTGGGGGGAATGAGTGGGGGTGACAAGAACAAATGGGGGTGGGGGAATGTGTGGCAGAATGCCCTCTTCATCTCTCCCCAAACTCTGCCATGAGGTAGATGCCTAATCTGACAATTTGGTTACCATGGTCACTGCAGAGGGCAGACACCCCTGGTCCCTTCAGCTTCAGGTAACCCTGAGTTGTAACCTGAGCTGGATACATTCCAGAGGGTGGGGGAAACCTGCTCCCTGTGCCTATGTGACTGGCCTCACACACCTGGGTGGGGGCTTAAACTCCGTATTGTTCTAAGCAATATTATCATGACTGGGAAGGGGCTAGAGAGCCTGCCAGTCTACCCGACAACCAGTGATGCATTTCAAATTGGTTAGCTGGCAGTCAACAGCTGCTGGCCTTCATTGGATCAGGTAAATGAGGTCATAAGGTCTATATAAGTTAAGGACTGCCCAACAGCTGGGGCAGCAGCTATGATGAGAACTCTCAGAGAAGCTGGATCATCTGAAACACGCTCTCTCTCTTGAAAATCATGTTCAATGAACTGCTTGCCTCTAGAGGAAATCTCCACCTGCCTCTGGATGATACTTGTGAGTAAGATACTTGAGATCTAACTAGATATATAGCTTGCAGTAACTCAGATGTGTGATCAAACCACACCACTGTTTACTCTAAGGTATTTCTCTGATATTGCTCTACCCTGTACTCTATTCCAAACCTACTCCTTGTAACCAATAAAGTTCTCCTCTGTAACTAGCATGGGACACTTAATGCAAGAGGGTCTCGATTATGCCTTGGGGTCCCCTTGATTCAAGTGACTAAAGGAGAACACTCTTGGTGCTTCAGACTGAGGGAAGCACCCCACATTCTTGCAGTGGGTCAAGTACCCCTCAAGGACTACTAGGCCTGTGTTTCCCAGGGGGCACAGGGCCGAGATTAATCTAGACCCGCACTGCAAATCTGCAGCATGGGGAAAGTTCTTTTGTTCCCACATGTGCCTCTTGCAGCATCAAAAAGGGGTTTGAGATGCTGCAAGAGGCATGTGCGCATTCGTCTGGATGTGCCCCATGGGGTGCTTAACTGAATCTTTTGGTATCTGTATCTTTGAAAAACAAGCTTGGAATGTCTCTGTGCCTCACTTCCCCACATGTACAATGGAGATTATAATATTTTCTTACTCCAAAGTTGGTTGTGTGGATAAAATCATTAATAAGAGTGAGATTCTCAGACATGAGTGTAATAGGACCATATAAGAAAGAGAGTAATTAAAAGTGATAGAGAATTTGAGACAGAAAAAAAAATTGGCAAGTGAAATCAAAAGTAAATTTATCAAGATACATTACTTAAAAGTTAATTTGTTTTGAAAGATGTCCAAAAGAAACAATGACTTGTCACCGAGCCAATCTGATTTCTCTTGAAGTAGTTTCAAATTTTCCCTTTATTGTAAGCACCCCTTAAATTTATAGCTTTAAAAGGTGTTCACCTCAGCTGGTATTAATTAAAATTCTGAAGAAAACTGAAACCTTGAAAAGAGCACAAATTATAAAAACAAAGGCAGAGACCTGGCTTTCCCAAATGTCATAACTAAAAGTAAACGTTTCCAAACAGAAACACCTCATTTTGTGATTGTGCAATAAAACAAGTTCTGAAGGAAGAAAATGTACTTTGACTTTTGACTCAGGGCTCTAATCCAATGTATTAGGGTTCAAATATGACAAAGCTTTATTTAATAAGCTGCACAATTAAAAGCGTATCAGTTGTCACAGTGGCTACATGACAGGCTGTTGCAAAATCCAAAGTGTTAGTCAAAAGCCACAAGCATCATATTTATCCTGCCAAGGAGAAGATATTTGAGATTAAGGGATGCTATAGTTCAATGGGAGAATATTATTCTATAAATCAACTATCTGCCCATCATGATTCAAAATACTAATTACACACCCTTATCACAAATCAGCTGTAGGACAATTTGTGCCTTCTGTCTCTTCTCTTTTCAGTTCTACCCCTGATTTCCAGGGTTGCCACAGCAAAAATAGCCATGGCCCAAATTTCAGCTGCTGCTTTTCTGCAGCTGCACATGCCCCTGCACATAGGGTTGGTATGGAGCAGATTGTCCTGGGTGGGTAGGGGAGGCTGGGGCCAGCACCTGTGCTGGTCCCAGCAGCTTTACCTGGAGTCCTGGGGAAATTCCAGGGCAGCAGCAGTGCTGATCCAGCCACTCAGTTTCTGGCCAGCAGCCAAAGTGTGGCTCTGGCTGACCAGGCTCCACTTGTGGTGGCACATGCTGCTGCCATGTGTACCATGCCACTTTTTGAAGCAGTTTTTTGGGGGGTGGGGTTTGTCACTGGGATCTACCAGTGCCAAATCTGCAGCGCAGCAAATGGGTGCACGTGCACCGCATGTAGTTTTAGGTGCCACAAACTGCATGTACATGCTCGTTTGGACACACCCTTAGTGGGTAAAATAGAATACCCTGTACTTTCATGAAGTCTTGCAGCTAAGGATTTTATTGTATAAAGTAGCTGTCTCTCAGTTACTTGTTGGGGACTGGGGTGGGGTGGGCACTAAGGTACACAGTAGACAGCCTGGAGGTTGCAAGTTGGAAGCCAATGCAGAAGTGTTTACAGTGCAGCCTGAAGCTTCCAACAAATTTGTGAATTCTACTAAGTACTTTGCCACAAGGACATGAAGAAGGAAGTTACTTGCCTGGGCACATTGTTCCATTATATAACTGCCATTTGTGGAAAAGTGTTGTTACTATTTAATCAGAGTAATAAATATAATAATCTTTCAGTAGACAGGAACTAAATATTACTTTAAAATGGAAGGTGGATTCCAAAAGGCTCAAGCATTTATTTAATATGACCCCATAAAGTTAATATTTGAGAAAAATCCACAGAATCCACACCAAACAAATATGACCAAAGGAAATCTTGCACTGTGTTTATACTGGGCCAAAACAGGGAGTTTCAGTTTTCAAGAATGGAAATCTGTAATCTCCTGTAATCCCTCAATACACTTGAAATAATTAAAAAATTGAATGGTGTTGATGACCCAGACACACAGAGCTGGAAATGCAGAAAGCTGATACAGAACCTGGGCTGATACCAAACAAAATGTCATGATCACTATCAACTTACCTTTTCTATTGTGGTTGTATTGTCTTGGCTTGTATTCTGGAAGCCTTGAACAATGCCAGAAATGCAGAGTGGTCCAGCAAAACCCAACAGATCAGCCAAGTAACGGAATGTGCTACTGAGAAGAATTGGTCGTCCAAAAGCCCTGTACATTGCTAACCATATAGAAGGATTCCTATTCGGCTGGTTTGCCACCTTTTTCTGAAAATCAAAGGAATGGGAATTAATGCATCCAGAATTAATTTCTCATTGGCAGGCTATAGCAACTACTGTTCCATTACTTTCATATTTTGTTGAATGCCCAAGAGCTTCATGGGGTGGTTTTTATTAGTTGACATAGACAAACAAGACATACAAGTTAACAAAAATCATCTTCACCGCAATGAATTCAACTACACCCCAAAACCACTGCTCTTGCTTTTTGTAGATTCTCATCTCAATGCTATTATGAGTTCAGAAACAGTTTATGCAACTATAGACTATTTACAAACAGGTGTTGATCACTGTCACTTGTACAGCTCATAAACAACTTGATCTAACTTGATCTGACAAACCCTGACATCTTTACTTTCTCAAGTAGTCTCACTGGGTCTCACTGAAACTGTCTTTGTGAGTTGTTCTGAGTTGCTCTTTGTTGCTCTTTCTTGTATAGATCAGGTAGGATTCCTTCCCTGGAATTTCTGAACTGAGAGTTCTAGATTTTTGAATTTATTTTTGTCTCAGACCAACACAGCTACCAAATACATCCCTGAAACATGCTAGATGCCGAATTTTAGCTGATTATGCATTTTAAACTTCATTGCAGAACAACAAGAAAGAATTTTTAAACTTCCCTGCTTGCCAATCCTACCTGATCTACACAACAAAGAGCAACTCAGAACAACTCACAGACTCTCACGGAGCCAGAGGGACAGATTTTCCATCGCCAGCTCCATCTTCACAAAAATGAAGTTAATTTCCTACCTATGGGGACTTTTTACCATCTTTAATTTTCCCAGAGCCTGATAAAGGGCATTTGAGCCCAAAAGCTTGCAGAAAAAAAATTATTTTTTTTTTGCAATGTCCTAGTTCAGGCGTGGGCAAAATGCGGCGCACAGGCCGCATGCAGCCCGCCAGGCCATTCTGTCCAACCCATGGAGCCTCTACAACATTTAGAAAATTAATATTTATCTGCCCCTGGCTGCCTGTCATGCGGCCCTCGATGGCTTGCCAAAACTCAGTAAGCGGCCCTCTGTCTGAAATAATTGCCCGTCTCTGTCCTAGTTGGTCTAATAAAGGGTATAATTTCTGAACCAAGAGTTCTAGATTTTTGCGTATCTTTCACTATGAGATGCGATTAAACATCATTCTGGTAATGAATTCAAATTCAGACAGAACACTTATCTGGAGGGCCTGCTTTAGGCAAACACAAGTTACTGGCCCAATGCTATGGCAACTTGGAGAAATGTAATGGGATGTGATCTATTAAGGTCTGTTCTTGCCTTAAATTCTATGCAGTTGTGAAATTCAGAACCTCTGCTCTGAAGCCCCAATCTGTCATACATATCCATCTGAAGCTTAATGATAGCTGTAAATGCTTTTTAATTCCCACTAGCATAGATGACTGGTAGGGAGTGCATGGGAGTGCATGTGCCCCCCCCCCGATGGGGCCAGTGTTCCCCCTGACGGCTGACACCAACACTCTTGGCAGGGCTGGTGCCCTCCCTGACAGGGCTACCACCATCAATGGTCCAGATCCAGGAGGCACCAGTCACTCATGCCCACTAGGAACAGTTTTATTCAGTGGACGTGTAGTCTGAAGAGCACATATGTGAGCTCCAGGCAGATGTTGTAACACACTAAAAATGCATCTGTCATTTTTCAGGCTGTACAGAGGCCTGCAAGTTGTAACTCAGGCCAGGCCTTTTTGAGTGTTCACAAAAAAAAAAATGTAACTACTTAAAAGAAAGCCTAAAAGCACATATCTCTCTCTACCCCAGCTTCCTGCTTCAGACCTTGATTCTTTTTCCACATTCTTCTTCAGTCCAAATTCAACATTGATATAATATCAGGATAATGTTGAAAAAGGATGCATATAAACATCCAACAATGCAGAACCTAGCAGTACAGTGGCCTGGGAAAATTAGTGCAGGAAGCACTTACAGTGACTGAGGAGATTCAACACAGATACTTACGGTGCATTAACCAAGCAGTTTGCTCATTATATTTATGCTTTCTCTTGCTAACAATTACACTTCTGATGGGGGAAAGACTGCCCCTGTGGCAGGAAAGCTGTGTGGGATTAATACATATGACATTTTTAAAGGCATTTAGGTACCTTAAGACACAGAGAGGTACCTAGTGTGATTTTAAGAAAGTATCTGTGCCCTTAAATCTTATTAAAGCCAATGAGATCAAGTTACAAAGTCCTAGATCCTCAAAGGTACTCCTAATAAATCCTATTAAAATCATGTTACCCACATGAAACATGTTTCTTCAGGAAGTGCTATATGTTCGCATGCTCTAATGTTCACTCTGGCCATAATTCAAATAAAATGAGTGGGGACTTTTGAAGATCTGGGTCTGGGAACGTATGGCCTCCTCTCTGCATTCTTAGATGTCAAAATATCTCTAAAAATCTGACTCCAGGAGGATTGAAGGAAAGATTTGTAAGATCAGCTGCCTGAGACTGAAACTTCAACCCTCAACAGAGTGCAGTGAGAGGCCTAGATATTCCCTGAATTACATTTAAGGGTTCAAAACACATCTTTGTGGTGCACAAGTCTTGGTCTGGACCCCTGTCTTGGAGCTATCATCCTATCTTAGAGATGCAATCCACATTGTAAAGGCCTTAGAGAACCACTCCTTGATTTTAATCAAGATGATCAGGAAAGAATAGAAATACTACTACTTTATATTCTGGACATTAAATTAATTGTTAACTTGTGCTATTTTTCCTATTATTTACTTGTACCATATCAGTAGCCACTTCCAGTATTCCTACAGAATTCATAACAATGTCATTGCAGCTGAAAATTCATTCATTTTTCAGCAAGTTCTATCCCTGCATAATGTCAAATTAACATCCCCAAGAAAAATGCTGCATTGTTTCCCTTTTCTTTGTCCAGTCTAAACATTTTAAAGTGAATTAAAAGACAAAGAACACCCTTCTTGGATTTATTTCTTCCTCTGCTTTGTTCCTCTACTTTTGAAATCTGGGACTTATCCAAGATAAAGCAGATATTATTCATGCCTTCAATTTGCTTTCAAAACAATACAGAAGGTCATAATTTACAGGATTATGGAAAGGTACTAAACTGAGTCAACAGAGTGCTCTGGAAGGTTGTACTAGTACTATGGTCTCTGCTGATAAATAGTATTCTGTTTACTCAGAATTTTTTTTTTAATTTGAACTTTTATCTTAGAGACTTCCTGACAAAACAAAATGGAGTGAAGTCCTAGATTTTTTCTGTAATCCCTTCCCAATGAGTGTCCCTACTTAGTTACCAACTTTGATTAACAGATACTTAATCCTTAAATACCAGATTAAATAAGAAGCTCTACATGAATCTTCTGTAGGTAGAAATCGTTACGATGACCATGATTATGATTTCATGAAGTTTACAAGAATGTACTATGCCTTTTACAGAACATTCACAGATTCATAGATTGTAAGGCCAGAAGGGACCTCAGATGATCATCGGGTCCAGCCCCCTGCACCAAGCAGGAAAAATAACTCAGGGTCAGGTAAGACCTAGCAAGGTGACTGCCTAGTCTCCTCTTGAAGATTTCCAGGGTAGGTGATTGCACCACCCCTGCAGGGAGCTTATTCCAGTCTGGACACCCTGACTGTGAAGAAGTTTTTCCTAATGTTGAGCCCGAATCGATCTTCCAGGAGTTTGTGACCATTACTCCTGGCTTTCCCCTTGTGTGTCCTGGTGAACAGTTACTCACTGAGCCCTTGGTGTACTCCCCTAGTGTAGCAGTAAGCTGCTACCAGGTCCCCTCTCAGCCTTCTTTTCCTCAGGCTGAAGAGTCCCAGATCCCTCAGCCTTTCCTCATATGACTTGCCTTTAAAGACTCTGATCATATGGGTGGCTCTTCTTTGGACTCTCTCAAGCTTGTCCACGTCCTTGTTAAAGTGCGGTGCCCAGAACTGGATGCAGTACTCCAGCTGCGGTCTCACCAGTACTGAATAGAGTGGAAGAATCACCTCCTTGGTTTTGCTGGCGATGCATCAATTGATGCATGCCAGAGTATTATTTGTCCTACTGGCTACAGCATCGCACTGCCAGCTCATATTCATACTGGGTCTATTATTACCACCAGGTCCCTTTCATTCGCGGTGCTAGTCAGTTTGGTGCTGCCAAGCCTGTAGGTGTGTTGAGGGTTGCTCATCCCAAGGTGGAGCACTTGACATTTCTCAACATGTACAAAGACATCTACCCTGTACAAAAGAGTATATATTTAGACCCACATTCTTAATGAGCTTCATGGAACTGGCTTTCTGGGTCCATGAGGAGACTTATTGAAGTCTGGGGGACTTTCAAGAGCCTAGTGAAGCAAAGGGAGTTCTGATCAGCAAGGATGACACTTGGGCAATTCTGCTATAGCACTTCCTGAGTGAACAAATGACCTAGGGCAGTGGTTCTCTACCGTTTTAAACTCAAGGCACCCTTTGGTTGATGCAAGGCCCCCTCCATAACTTTTGTGAATTGAGCAGCACCTCATTGCAAAAACTAATGCATTTGTTTTAGTGTTTACCTCCTTGCAGAGGGACTAGTTAGTAGGGTGGCAGAGAACAGCCAGACAGGGACAAGCCTGAGCCTGTGCTTATCTCCTCACACCTGCTTATCTCCTCACACTTCACTGTACCCTTCAAAGGATCTGGCAACACCTAGGTTGAAAATCACTAAGCTAAGGTAACAAGTGACTGGGGAAGAGGTACTGAAGACAAGAAAGGAGTTACAGTAATAGAAGAAAGTTATTTGGTATACATGGCACACCTTGGGAAATGGTTTAGAAACTGAATTGGTAATACAGACGGCAAAACTTGGTTCATGAGCTGCATACATCTTCAGGCAATTGAAAAAGAAAAAACAGAAAAAAATGAAAAAGTAGTAGTTAAAACCTTTTTCTCTCTCTAATATCTTGGGGCTTTCTTTTCTACAACACTGGCTATTATTTATTCAAAGAAATAATTTAACAACACATTATTATTT